TAAAGCTGGTACAAATTGAAATTTATGACTTATTGATACGATATAAACTTTCAACTGTGGAAAATCTTTCGCTTATGATTAACACTAAATTTTACAGTAAGCAGTACGAATATGGTCTCTTTAGGTGCTACAAAACATGTATTTACTATTTAATATGATTGACACTAAATTTAGCATTAAATATTACGAATATAATGCTACGCATATAGATTCATTGCTTACAGTTCATTTGAATATCTTGGAGAAAATCTATTTGTGGCTTACATTTCTTATTCGGAAGTTATGTTTGTGTCTTTATTAGATTTTCGATTTAACCTTTTTAAGTTTTTAGTCAAAAAAATTTACGCATGTGGTATCTTTAGCTGCTACTAAACAGGTAGGTAGCAGACATTATTAGAGAAACATTAATAAAAAATAGTTACCTACTCCAAGTGTATTAACAATTCACGTCGCGGAGGACGTTAATGTCAAATCTAGACACAATTTCTCGCTCGTGACCGGTCCCGCATTGACACCATTCGAGTGTACTTTCTCCAAACTTTGGCAATTATAAACTATAAAAACTTAAAAGTTGAGCATATATCATTTTGTAGGAATAAATACATTTACGTTCTTGCAAAACAGTTAAATTAATTATTTTTTCTCTTTAGGATTTAAAACTACTCTTGTACCAACAACAAAGTACTCCAAGAACATCAATGACATTCCAACCATTAACCCTAGCTGGGCCAAATATATTGTCTTGCTTTTTCTGTAGATATGAATAATTTTACATGTTATATACACATTGTCATGTTTGATCTATAAAACCTGATCACATGCAGCATGTTGGACCAAAATTAGAAATTTTGATTTAACATTCTTTGTTTATAAAGATACAGATGGGGATGCCTCGGTTAAGATAGAACTCATTTATTGATTGTTATATATGATCATGTACAGAAAATATATAAGAAAGAGGGAATCGAATCGAATCAGTATGGACTCTATGGAAAGATTAAATGAAATTAAAAGAAATAAACGAGTAGAGTAAGCATAGCTCCACATGTGCATGTACACACATGTAAATGTACAAACAACTGCATGTATATAGTAAGGTATTAATGTCATAACCAGAACCCCCGACCTCCNCCCAAAAAAAAGATTTTAATTAATTTATAATTTTGTTCCAGACGTATATTTACTCGAAGACGAAGGTATGAACAAGTATTGTATATATATGGCGACGCACACCAAGGAATGGTAAATATACGTATGGAAACCAAAATATATATCAATTTAAGATTTTTGAAAAATACTTTCCATCTTCTGAAGAATTCTACTATACTACTTTGATTGCATTGATCAATAATACAATTGTACCATTTTATTTCCTGTAGCTACTAGCTTTATTGTTGTCATCGGCCTGGTGTCTCTATATGTCTGCACTGTTCCTTTCTCATCACAATTACACTATAGGACCAAGTAAAAGCATCTCAAAAAAGAAACTATATTTTGAATTTTTCCAAATTCTATAGTTGAAGTTTCAAAGTGTTTTTCTCCAAAAAAAAACTTCAAAATTATATGTATTTTACATGATAGTCTTTATATTTGTCACAATTAATAAAAATTCATAAAACTTTTATAAATAACTAAGACATATATAACATATTACAACAATATTAATTAATAAAAGTGTACATTAAAATATAAAACTAGAAATAGAAATACATAATTAATTATTAAACTACAAGCAAAATATCACACTATTCCATAAAATTACTTCCGTAAAGCTCATATATGTGATCACCTAGTGCCTTTCGAAGTAAATAATGACTCTCTTTATTTTTAATATGTAGATTACGAGCTAAAAATTGTTGAAAACGGATATCTTCATTTTCCGCCATATCAATCGTTGCTTCTGCCACTGATCTTGTATCGACTTTTCTCGGTGCATTAATATCACGTTCATCCTCAATTATCATGTTATGCCTTGTAATGCATGTCGTTGATTATATCATGCAATACATCCTTCTTCCAGTAACGAGATGATCCCGCTATGATATCAAATTTGAACTGCAAGACTCCAAATGTACGATCAATATCACAATCTCCGAGAATGCCTTCAAATCCAAACAAGTTTTTTGTGCAACAAGCATGGATAATAATCATGAGATGATTGAGTTACGAATGAAAAATGAAGCAAACAAATTAGCTTTAAAAGAAGTAAAAGTGGAAAATAAAATATTGCTAAAAAACTTAGCTTCTATCGGTGATATTAATAATCGTAAGTACATTTGTTTTGAACGAGAAAAAATCATACGCAAAAGATGTCAAGAACAACAAGAACAACCATCTTCAGTTACAAAAAAGTTTGAAGATTTGGAGCTTCCGGGACAGATTCGCCAGATTATAAGTGTTGTTGTAATAGTTAAATTTCTATAATAACTATGTCTTCATGCACATTTTTTTTTATAAAAAATTAATTAAGTTTGTATTATAATATTCTTGTTTTCTAATTCTCCTTTTAAAATAATATAAATCTTATTTTAAATTGTTTATTTATTTTTTTTGTAAAGCTTAATTCATAAAAAAAATTTGAAGATTTGTGAGATATTTTTTAAAGATTAAAATAATAAATAAGAAAATACTTAAGAATCATAAATAAGAAAATACTTAAGAATCATAAATAAGAAAATACTTAAGAATCATAATAAAATATGTAAATATAAAGACCAAATTGCAAATAAAAAGATGAAATTTCAAATTTGAAATTTTAAAGTTTCTTTTAGAGAGAAAAGACTCTATATTTGAAGTTATAGAGTCTTTTGGAAATGCTTTAAGTGTGATAATATACAGAGTTGACCAAGCAGATAATGGATAGCAAGTAAAGAATGTGGAGAATATTAATGTGTCTGGCATCAATCTTTGTCACTGTTTATTTTGTACATCCAACTTCATGCATTTGATAGAACCTTGTATTATTATGAATGAGTATTTATTGGAACTATAGCAGCGATACATCTTTGTTCTCTACAATTTAAGAAAAAAAAAATTAGTATGTAAGAAAATCGGACGAAGTCGTCTTGCTTGACTACTACTGTCGTCTCCTCATTGAGTCATTTCTAATCTCAGTCTCCGAAACTCTAATTACAATATTTGCTTTCATTGGTATAAATGTATTCCGAAACAATTTCTAGTAGCCTGGTTGACTGCATTTATATATTTCGTCGTTATCTATCAAACAACCAACTTTTCAATCATCTGATCTTACTATGATTCTAGCTAAACCATAATGTGAAAGTCAAACTAGAAGTAAAACTGTTTCGGTGATTTACTTTGTTCAAAAAATCTGTTTATAATTTATAAAAAAGGTTTACCAATTGCTAATACAAACCTTATGAAATACCTTTTCCGTTTCAGATCACTGTCTCATATAGTTTTGATTTCTTACAAACAAAAGAAAAACTAGTTTTCAAGATATATATAGAATATAGATCAATGCTAATTATTTGTTTTCATTTTCAGTTTGTATTATTCTATTTCAACTACATAAATTATTAATAGTCGTAAAAAATATATTAACAGTCGTTATTCAACTAGCCTCTGACACTAATGCATATCACATATGGTTAATAAAGAAAATTTGACATGTTAAAATCAAAATACAAAATTTAGTACTAGTTTTTGTTGTGCAATAGTGTTTACAGAAAATTATGCTATTTACTTAGATAACTGTCAAATTTTGATTAGGTACTACTACACATATATATATAGATCGGTTTGCATAATAGTTTGTAAAATAACTTATGCATCAACATTGCACACCAATTGTATCAAAAGTTTTTCAAGGGCTAGTATTATTCTGTATACTTTAGAAATCTAAAAAATTATATAGGTTATTTTATTATTATTGGACTCCAGAACCGTTGTATTTTCTGTCCTATAACATAAGTTGATCATTCTTACAAAAGCATATTGGAAAAAAATGTCGGTAACTGATTCTATGACTTTTAAAAGTGCAAAACATCAGAATACATTCGAGTCTAATTTTAATCTTACCACTGCAATTAACACGGAAGAAATTACGCACTCTAAAAATTCCTATTTACAAAAACGAGTATATTGAGATAACTCCACATTGATAGTATATATAATACACTGAGATTCATTCACATGTACACCTAACTTTGTTGGAGTTTGAGATGAATTAAATACATACTAAGAGAGAGAGATTAAGTAGAGACTTAAGGTGTTTAGGACAACAGACAAAAGATAAGGTGAGGAAGTACGAAGAAATGCACGCAGGAGGTGTGAGACAAATTGTTTAGTAATGAAAGATTAATACGTAATTTTTACTCAAACCACATTCGGTTGTTAGAAGTTGAGATGATTCAAAACAACATCATTCTCTTGCACTACATTCAATTTCTACTAGTGAACTCATTAGAACGATTTAGGAATAAGTAAAGAGAAAAACAAAAACTCTAAAAAGGAGGAGCATATGTTATGTCCAGCCGACGTGTAAACACAACATGTTCATGTTCGAGAGATAAGATTCGACAACTCAACAATAGAAGAAAATAAGTATCGACAATACTATAAATACAGAGTAGTAGTAAATGGTAGACTTGTTGTAAGAAAGCTTCTTGTGTGTTTAATAAAGGAACAATTGAAGACTTCTTTCACATTGCATATACATCAACGTGTCCCCACTTATCTCCTAAATCCTAAAACTCACAAAATTCACCGCAAACTTTGGCTCTAGAAAGTTTATTTTAGTTTTGTTTATTCTAAAATATTAAAGTTCTCACCAAACCAAAAAAAAGTTCAACGGTGATGTAGAACCCACTAAAACATTCAGAGCTGTCGTTTCCTCATCTATTCTCATGTTCTCTCTTATATAATCCCCTCCACAGTCTACACCATATTCTCATGCATCTTACTCACTTCATCATCTCTTCTTAACAAAAACAAACACACAAACAAACAAAAAAATAAAGAAAAAAAAACATAATAATATGGATATTATCCTTCTCTTGTTCTCCCTTCTTCTCTCATATCTCTTCTTCAAGATCTGGAAGCTAATAGACTCAAAGAAAGACAAAGATTGCTACATCTTAGACTACCAATGTCATAAACCATCCGACGACCGAATGGTGAGCACTCAGTTCAGCGGAGAGATCATTCACCGAAACAAGAACCTCGGTTTAAACGAATACAAGTTCCTTCTCAAAGCCATAGTAAGCTCAGGGATAGGAGAGCAAACCTACGCTCCAAGACTCGTCTTCGAAGGCAGAGAAGAGCGTCCTTCATTACAAGATGGGATCTCGGAGATGGAAGACTTCTACGTGGACAGCATCGGAAAACTCCTGGAGAGACAACAAATCACACCTAAAGAAGTCGACATCCTCGTGGTCAACGTCTCCATGCTCTCCACAATGCCTTCTTTAGCTTCAAGAATCATAAACCATTACAAAATGAGAGAAGACGTCAAGGTCTTCAACTTGACCGGGATGGGATGTAGCGCGAGTCTAATCTCTGTAGACATTGTCAAGAACATTTTCAAAAGCTACGCAAACAAGTTAGCTCTCATTGCCACCTCCGAGTCTTTAGGCCCTAATTGGTATAGTGGAAACAACCGGTCGATGATTCTAGCTAACTGCTTGTTCCGGTCAGGTGGCTGTGCTATTCTCTTGACTAACAAACGTAGCTTGAGAAAGAAAGCTATGTTTAAGCTCAAGTGTATGGTACGGACTCACCATGGAGCTAGAGAGGAGTCTTACAATTGTTGTATCCAGTCAGAGGATGAACAAGGCCGTGTAGGGTTTTACTTGGGGAAGAATCTACCAAAAGCGGCTACTCGTGCTTTCGTAGATAATCTCAAGGTTATAACACCCAAGATTCTTCCAGTAACCGAGCTCTTGCGGTTCATGTTAAAGCTACTCATCAAGAAAGTCAAGATGCGTCAAAACCCTAGCAAGGGCTCGATGAATATCCCACCGGGGACTCCTATAAAGGCAGGGATCAACTTCAAGACCGGGATCGAGCATTTTTGCATTCATACCGGAGGAAAAGCTGTGATTGATGGGATTGGACATAGCTTGGATTTAACCGAGTATGATATTGAACCGGCGAGGATGACACTTCACCGGTTTGGGAATACATCGGCTAGTAGTTTGTGGTATGTTTTGGCTTATATGGAAGCTAAGAAGAGACTGAAGAGAGGAGATAGAGTGTTTATGATAAGCTTTGGAGCTGGTTTTAAGTGTAATAGCTGCGTTTGGGAAGTTGTGAGAGATCTCACCGTTGGAGGATCAAAAGGGAATGTGTGGAATCATTGCATTGGTGATTATCCACCTAAATCGATTTCTAATCCTTATTTGGAGAAGTTTGGTTGGATTCAAGATGAAGAAGTTGATACTTTCAAGATCCCTGACGAGTTTATGTAACGTTTCCGCACAGAAACACAAATAAGAAAAGAACATAAAGGTTACAATATTCTCTTTTTTTTTTTCTTTTCCCTTTTTTGTTAAAATTTTACGTGTTTTCTTTTCTTAAAGAATGGGATTCGAACATGGATATGAATGCATGAAAAAAGATAATTCAATTTCGTTTTGCTTGATATAAACAATTTTTTTTGGTGTAATAATTTGATCATTTTACACTTCTAAATATTTAGGGTAAGCACTTCCAATAAGATGTGAATTTACTAATTTTGCCGTCCTATTGGAATGCTGACCACCTTCTGTTCTTATGTTATGAATTTATATTTTTGTATTAATTTTCATTTTCACTTTAATTTGTACTATTATGTCGCATTTACTGAAGTTTGTCTAGTTTCGAATTCCTATGGCTCCTGTTTTCAATTGATTGCATATTTTCAATTGTTTGGTTGAAAACTAATGCATAGAAATCAAAGAGTATGCAATTGACTTCTGAATTATGATGTTCAGGTTACGAACATGTCTTAATCTACGTTTCGTTATTATTATAATTGACATTTACATGGGAGATATAATTGTTTTTACTATTTTTATACTTGGAACAATTGTTCATGTCCACCCTTTTCAATTAAAGATGAAAATGCAACGGAAAATGTAAAAAAGAAACTGAAAACGAGTTTGTTTGGTGAGAAAACATTCAATGAGCATTTCATACCACCACCAGATCCCGGGCCCTATTTTCTCCACAGAAAAGGACAAAATCGCAATTACTAATAGGCATCCCTTATTAAGATTAGTACTCCATTTAATTAAGTGCTCATAACAAAGTTTACCCATGCCTCACAACAAAAAATAAAGTTAACAAATGCCCCAATTAGTTATTTAATTGAGACGTACTTAGTAATCAGGGAGGAAAGACTCATCTATTCATCTATATTATTAAAGCAGAATCCTAATAGGGATTTTGCCATTAATTTTAAATTTATTTACAAATCATGTCACTCCTACATTTATGCATAAATCAATTGATTATTTTTATCAGAAATATAAACCAATCATATTGCAGCATTTAATATCTTATACCATCTATATATATCCTATATTCTCTCAAGATTTTGTTTATTGTTTAATTATATTTTCCAATTTTCGTTATTAAAAATATATATTTACTTTTAATAAGGTCATACTAATATTTTGAAGATATAATTATATATTCATACCAGATTTTATCAAAACCGGGATGCATGTTTGGTTTTACATTGGCTAACATGTTTTTAAAAATTAATTATCTAACTATATTCAAACCTTTCGCATTTATTCTAATCTTACATTTTCTCAAAACATATAAAAATAACTCATAATTATATCAATCAATAAATATATATATATATATATATATAAATAACCAATATAAAAATTATTTTATAAATTATAAAGTAATATCTGTAATTATAGCTAAAAATAGAAAATAACACATATTCACTGATTCAAGAGAATTTATAACTAACTTGGTCTAATTAAGTTAAACCAAGTGTCTCAATTTAAACGAATTATAACTAACGGCATGACTCCTAAATAAGATGGGTTTAAATAGAACAAATTTCTTATTTTAACATCCATAAAAATATGTTTAGTATGTTTTAATTAGACTTTTTACAATGAAAAATATCCCGCACTTTTAAAGTGCGGGTCAAAATCTAGTTAATATCATTATAGCAGACTCTCAATGACTTTTTGTTGCCATAATTACAGATATAATAGCGGTTATAAGGTATAACTTATAAGTGCATACTTTGCGAATAAGGGAAATGATAATGATAGGCTAGATTCGACTCCTAAAACCACTTGATTCTGTGATTAGTTTTATGAACCAAACGTCTCTATTCTATGTAGCGAATTCAATATACTAGTTGGAGTTATTTACAAATAGAGAACGAGAGACCCATCATTTTCATTTAAAATGCATTAAATGGTAAAAGTAAAACAGACCCATTGTGTCCAACGAGAAATGCAACCCCTTGTTCTTTGGATGAAAACCCGGACTTTAAGTAAATAGGAATTTGAATTAGTCTATTGTAAATAATATTCTGAAAAGAAATGTAATCAGGATATGTTTCTATGGTTTGTTTAACACATTCTATGGTAGTATCTTGAACCATCTTTTACTATATACTTTGTATATATGGATAAACGACTTATATTCACATCAAAAATATTATATAGTAATAGTTATACAATCTTTCAATTTTGTCATAATTCTACATATTAGAAATATTAAAATCTATTTCTTTTCAAAAAGGATCGGAATTCATATCTCCATAAATAAAAATTTGGTTTGGTTTTAATGTTTTATACCAAATTTTAAACCTGACCTAGTCTATGATCCAAATAAAAATCTGATCCAACGCCTGAATCAAACTTTGTAAATTTTAAAAATCAACTTGTATCGATTCAATAAAGTTAGCTATTAGTTATATATCAAAATTTTGAATAGTTAAGCGATCTAAATCAAATTATATGAATTTTAGTTCATACACATTATGGAGACATGGGTTTTGATCTTTTGTATTGAGGAGAAATAAATTCTAAAACTTCAAATATATGGAATTAGGATGGGACTGAAAGATTGTGTACAACTGTTAGTATATGATATTTCTAATGTAAAAATAATTCATTTACCCTATATATATAATGTGATACGGTACCATTGCTATTTCTTTGTTCACAACTTCACATTATATTTATTTTGATACTGGAAAGTGTGTTGTTTCTTTCTAAAAATATTGTTTACATTTGGTTCGAGATCATAGATTTTGTATGGGATTATCAGTGCTTTGTGTGGGATTCTACTTACGTTTATAATACAATACAACAACTATTGGGAGATCATATAATGTCAATAGTTGACCAAAATCAGGTGTAGAATACTTTTTCACAACGTTTAATTTGTATAATTATTAGACCTTAATAATGATAATAATTGAAAATAAAAAAGGGAAAAACTAAAAGGGTAATAAATAGGGACAGATAAGTGACTGAAGAGAAAGAAAGCGGTCCAACATCGAAACAAACCACTTTTGCCATTCTCTTTAAATTTGCCCACTCAAGACAGGTGGACATTTATTTATCCTACACACACGTGGTACTGTTAGGTGCCGTTGATTCTCTTTAAATATGTTGTCAATACTAGGGATTTGTATAATTGTTGTGAGTTGTGACGACTCCCAACGTGACTCTACTTCTCTTTCGTTGAGTAAATCCAACAGAAGACGATCCTGTTTTACTGCCTGATTTCGTAAAATCACTGAATCTCCACCTTTCTTTTTCTAGCTACACAATACATTTTGAGTTGTTCGGGAAAAAAAAAAGCTACAATTAATTTCGAATAATACAAATTTTCAGGATTCTTATGTATCCTTTTAAAACTAATTTCTCTTTAGCAATAATAAAAAAAGTTCTGTATTGGAGGAAAAGATCATGCTTCTGTGGACAAAATGAGGATAAAGTTTTTAGATTAATGTTGAGATCACACAATGTTTTCTTATCAACAATATAAAAATATAGAATAATTCGCATAACCAAAGGGATGAATCAATATAGGTATTATATGATAGTTATAGATGAGTTTTGTATTAATTTATCTATTATTATTGTCTTTGTGTGAACTAAGATAACATAAATATTGAAAAATTCTTTACATTTCTAAAATTCTTTTAAATATATTGAGAAAATAGACTATTTCAATGATTCAGAACAAATTATATAATCCCACATTTCAGATATGAATTATGTAGCAAACAAACTAGATGGATGGAAGATGGTAGTAAATATTACTTAAAAAAAAGGCAGTAAAATAGAATTTTGCAAATCTGAAACAAGTATGAACTACACAAGGGCAGATTTTCTTTTATTTTTGCTTTAGCCTTTAGGCATTGGTAAAGCGGGGCTCCCAACATCATAAATCACTTAAAGTACAGACCGAGCCTGCCCACATCATAAACCATTTAAGCCAAGATTTATGTAAGATATCTAAAAATTGGACTGACACTGAACTCACAATGATTTTTCTAGGCTGGTCAGGTTTGGAAGGTGGGGATGGGGTGGGCTAGCGTCTGATCCTTTTACCAGAGGCTATGACCCATATGTCGATGAAGCCCATGTCTATAGATGTGGGAATACAAAGAAAAATACTGAAGAGGCAAAGTGATGTATTGTATTTTTACTTCTTTCTAGCATTATTTTTGTTTATATTTAAGGGAAGTTAACTCAACTAGTATGAATTTTATTAATTATTATCACAACCATACAAAACTTTTTTTTATTACTACCTTTTTTTTAATACCCAGCGTGCCCTTTTTTCACGTTGTGAGAAAAAACATATTTACAAGAATGCCATTACTTTTTTATGCCACGTAAGCAAAAATTTCGGGTCCACGTAAGAATGCGGCATA